TCTGAAGTCTATCACGGGATGGACATGTAATTTTACATACGTCAAGTATATCTTCTCATACTAAGATATGAACAGCGGGATGATTCGACTGAAACCGGAACTAAATTGATCGGAATTGGATCAACAAATGAATGCATGGAGATCAGCAGCGTCCGTCCTCATCCGCCTCGAATTCTGACAGCACGAGAGAGCATCGAGAATCCGTCACCTTGGAGAATACTGGTGGCCGTGGCAGTGGGATCAGAATACGATGCCTGCATGCAGTCACCTCCAATAACTTAGCAGCCTCAAGATTCCTGCATCCGCGGGCAGAGATTTTGGGTATCATATCCTCCTCCTCAGATGCCCATATATGCTGTGGTTCTTCCTCGTCGATCGGAATATATTCCATTCATCCCCGAAGAGGCAACAGCAGCTTCTGCAAAAGATCAGCATGAGCATATCTACCCCACTGACTGCAATATACTCAGGTTGTAGACATTCCCAACAAGAAAGGCCACCCAAAGAACCTCTCAGATGCTGCTGTATTAATTGGTGCAATAAATCTGTCCCAAGTGCCCTTGTGTTTCCTATATCCGGTTCATGGAAAAGTCGATCGAGATCGATCACAGCTATTTGCAACGACATTAATGGTGGGTGGGTTTATGTATAATCCTCCATGCTCTCAAAACTTGGCCAGGAAGAAAAGTGCTCTCATGTGCGCTCCCCAGCATCAGAATTCGGTCTGATGACTTTTCCCCACCGTATCTCTGTAGGGGATTTCCATCATGCAGAAACGAAAGCTGAACGAATATTACTTAGGCTCAGCCGATCGCTTTATCTGAAGCAATTCTTGTATATCATTTGGGCTTTTTGTCCTCACTCACCTTCATCTTTGTCAAAGCTATCTTCACTTGAGAAACAAGAAACGATCACCTCTTATAAGACCATGTATTCTTCCATCAATCCCACATTTACAGTGAAAATTGCATCCACCATGGGTTGGGTGAAGCATAGATTCTCATGGAGATCACCCTCCACTAATCTAGCTAAGTGGATAAAGATTCAAAGTAGTGAATTATACAAGGGAGACAATCATAAGTTTCATTCAAACTCCTTTCTCATCTTCTAAGATATATAAAGATATCTTAAACCTAATGTAAAAGATTCCTTTTGAATTATTCGAACCCACATTTGGGGATCTCATATTACTAACTTGAGCGTCGGAGGGATTGAGTTGGAAAACCTCTCCCGACCTCGGTTTTCGTATAAATGACACTTCAGGAGTATGATGTTTCTATATCGGAAACACCTCAGGACCACGTTAGGCTGACCAAGACGTCAACGATATTTTTTCCTAACATTTTGACGTTAGGAGAGCTTGATGTCGCAAGAATGGTCACTCGTCAATCTCTCGAACAAATGCTCCAACGAGTAGGCTCTGCCCCCAATCCATATCACTTTTACTCAAGGGGGACAACTTTCGTTCTTCTATAATGTGGACGCATCTACTTCGGTGCAAACACCAATGCGGTACTAGCTTTTCTTCAATGACATAGGTCTTTTGCCCTCGGGGATAACCTTAAGCCACCTACTTATTCCCGTCGAGGCATTTTTGTACCTCACCCAATAGGTGCAGACACTAACTGACATGATCTGGGTTATCTTTCCACTCCTACCTCAATTAGCCCAACAAGCACCACCACCATCTCAACCGTGATCAATATCTCAACTGTCACTAGCTCTGGTTTTTGTCGGGATTCGCCCACCCGACGTGGTGCCAACATCTCAGGATCACCTAAGGCCTATGGAATCGCTGGTCTAGGGAGTGTCTCACTCCCCGATCGTGGAATTCAGTGCACCACTCCGCTCAACTTGAATTTGAGACCCAGCTAGTGGATTCGATGGATGACTCATTGAGGATCCAATTACAACAAATTGACCAACATCTAGCAGAGATATGACAATAGTTCCAACAATCTCAAGAGAAAATATTAATCCTCGTTATCCAGATATGAGGTATGCAAGAAGCCCATCTGTCACTTATAATATAGGTCTTCATGATAGGTCTAAAGCCCTTTTATTTTTTCTAGTCATTGGTGGAGAGGCCATCAACGACAATGCCTGAGGTGCTTTAAAGGGCCAACCAATATATTGCTGTGGAGGCATTGGTCTCGAGTAAGGACGAGGAGATGCGCAAAAGACCGAGACAATAGTAACTACCATCAATCCCGACCCCAAGGTCACCATGATAAAGAAAAAAAATGATTGACCCAATGAAGAATTTAAGGCGAAGAAGAAATGATCGACCCGAGCTACCTTGCTTGAGGTTCGAGTCAACTCCCTTGAACATGACTAGAACCGAAGTCATTTTACAGATAAAAAAAAGGGCTCTTGAAAGACCCTCAACTGATGAAGACACCATTGGATATGAAGAACAAATCCAAGTGCTACCACCTCCACCGTGATTATGGCTATGACAGAGGACTATTGTGATTTGAAGGAGCAAATCAAAGAACTCATTTGTCAAGAATACCTTGGGAAGTTCGTCTAGAGGCACCGGGAGCCTTCGCCTCGACCTCATGGGTCGATGGAGAGGTGGAGATGTAGATCAATGTCATCATCGGTGGCCTTGCCTTAGGAGGAGGCAGCTCTTCGGGTCGTAAAGCCTATGCTCGAGCTACCATAAAAAAGTGTCCAAGGTTAGAAGATGACTCAAAAATAACTTTCAAGAAAGAAGAGTCATAATACCTCCACCCAAACCATAACAATGCCTTGGTGGTTTTTGTGATGATGATTAATGCTTGATTGAAGAGGATCATGATTGATACAGCCTGCATGTCATATTTGGGGATGAACCCTACTCCAAAACAGTAATGACCAAATTCATGGTGATAAAATTCCTAATGAGGATCAATGTTGAAAAGCTAAAAAGCAACCCGAGGGAGTCGCTCTAGTGTCATATGATGACGGTCTCTCTATCGAAGAAGGCTTGGCCCGAGGTACTACTAATCGATCCCCGGAATTTCACTATGTCCCTCTAACATCCAAAGTCAATGGAGTCATTAATCAAGCACCCGTGGACAAAGCCCGCCATGGCGAGAAGAGGATCCGAAGTCCACCACGATGGAGAGAGAACTTGAAGCCTACCACGGTTTAAGGAGGACTTAAAATCCTCCACAACGAAAAAAAAACTTCAAACCTACTATGGCGGGAGGATCTAAAATCCACCATGGAGGGAGGGCTTAAAGCCTATCACAACAAGAGGACCCAAAATTTACCACAGTAGAGAGAAGACTCAAAATTCACTATGGCAGAGGGAGGATCCAAAATCCCTCATGGCGGAGGGAGAACCCAAAATCTGCCATGATAAAGGAAGGACTTAGAGCCCACCAAGGACCCAAAATCTACCATGACAGAGGCACATGCCCAACATGCTCAAGACATATGAGTTGAAAAAACCCAACCCACATGAAGAAATCCGCCATGGTGGAGGCACAAGGCCAACGTTTTCAAGAAGCATGAGTTGAGAAAACTCGACTCATATGAAAAAATCTACTACGACGGAGGCACAAGGCCAACGTGCTCAAGACGCACAAGTCAGAAAAACCCGACCCACATGAAGAAATTCACTCTGACAGAGGCATAGGGAAAAATGTGCCCGAGGCGTGTGAGTTGGAAAAACTCGATCTACGCTAGAAGAAATCCACTATAGTAGAAGTGTAAGGCAAAACATACCCAAGACACATAAATCGGGAAAACCCAACGCGTGAAAAAAATTTGCCACGATGGAGGCACAAAGTTAATGTGGCCGAGACGCATAAGTCGGGAAAACCTGACCCACACTAAGATAAATCCATAGTGACGGAGGCTCAAGGCCAAATGCGCCCGAGACATGTGAGTTGGGATAACCCGACCCGCGTCAAAATAAAGCCACTACAGAAGAGGTGAAGGTCCAAATATGCTTGAGGCATGTAACTCGAGAAAATCTAACCCACGCTAAGCGAAATCCATTATGGCGAAGGCGCAAGGCCAAATATATTTAAGATGTGTGAGTTGAGAAACCCAACCTACATTGAGAAATTCACTATAGTGAAGGCATAAAACCAAATGTGCCTAAGATGCATGAGTTAAGAAAACTCAACCTACGTGAAGAGAAATCTGCTACGATAGAAGTACAAGGCTAAATGTGCCCGAGATGCATGAGCCGAGAAAACTCGACTCGCACTAAGAGAAATCTGCTTCGACATAGGCCCAACATGCCTAAAATACTAGAATTGGGAAAACCTGACCCATAAGATAAGATCCCGAACGCTCGTGTTTCAAACCCCTCTTATAAAAGCCCGCAAGAATGCTAATATCAGTTGACACGTGGTTACTACATGAGATCCAAGTCATCCTCGACCCATCTGCTTACATAACGAAGATTTAAAGCACAAGCTTTCTTTTTATCCATTATAACAAGAAAGACAATTATAAACTTTCTTATCATCCTTTATAACAATGAAGGTATTCACTAGCTTTCTTCTCATTCATTATGATGATGAAAACAATCACAAACTCAATATAAAAAGATATCTTAAATCCATTGCAAAGAACTCTTTTAGAATTCTTTTTGAACTATTTGAACCCACATTTGAACCCACCTTAGAAATACAATGTTTTCACCTTGAAGATACTTTGGATAATGCTATACATACATATTTCTGATCAAAACATCAACGATATTTTCTCCGAACTTATTATAACCATCAAAATTTACACAATAATAGTATAGGATACAAAAAAAAAAAAAAAAATGAAGATTATGAAGTAATGTGTAAAAAAGCTGTCCCTGCATTTTACACGTGTGGCAGATGAAGATATGGGCACACGATTTTTTATTCAGATACCACAACATTTTTATCGATATTATTTCATTTAAATGCTTAAATCAGTAGATGAGACATGATTCATACCTTTGTATTCCTATCAGAGCAACTGATAAATTTTGCCACATCCTTTAGAAGTTGGGCACACAATAACAGAAGTATAGGATTTTTCCTGGAGAGTTTGCAGATCGTTGTCGTTTAAGAGTCAATTGTAATGACCAAAATAAAACTAAACACAAAGCAGTAAATCTGCGTGGCTGATAACAATTAATGGAAATACCACTCCAAATTACTAATTTTCACTGTACAAGCCATCAGGGAAAAGCAGCAGCAAAAGCAACGTAAGTTCTGCTATACGAAACCTCTATTCCTTCTTGCACTCCTGCATATTAGAACACTAGCAACGGCAGATGATTCTTTTTGTACATTATTCAGCAGAAGGCAACTCACTGGAAAACATTGGAGGGTGGGCGATTGGCTCAAGCGACTGCAAGGATCGGACAACCTCGACGATTGCTGGTCGCTTCTCAGGCAATATAGAAGTGCATCGAAGAGCAAGTTCGAGTACCTCCAACATCTCTTGCTGTGCTGAACTGGAGATCTTGGGATCTAATACTTGGAGAGCTCCATTTGTCATGTTCACCTTCCTTCTTACAAACTTGACGACATCGAGGGACTCCCTAACTTCTGGCTGCTCAGCTGGCCTTCCGGTAACAAGTTCCAGTAACACCACGCCGAAGCTGTATATGTCCATTTGTTCTGTTGGTTTCTTACTGCAGCCATACTCTGCAATCAGTAGCAATGCATAATGCCATACAGATATTTCAGTTTACTAGATGAAAACAAAGCGATGTTCAACTCATTCAATTCATTTCTATGAGGAAAAAAGAAACATTCATTCATCTCACAGGGAATGCAAAAGTTCATATTCCTGGCATATTTAAAATAAATAAGAAATTACAATTTCAAATACCAAACGAAATTCGATTAACCATTGTTTATGTGCAATAAGTTCAAACAATACTGAAAGCTCTAGCATTCCACTTTTGTTTTTAGCTTCCTTGTTCTATGGCCTAATTATTTATTGCTTGACATCCAAAAGCTAAGATCAGCAAAACCATGATCAGTATCTCACGCAAGACAATAGCTAGCAATTCAATTATATGCAGTCAAAATTAAATCACCAGAAAGTATTTATACACCTAGCAAGCCAGTGTCTAATTACACAAATGATGCCAAACACCTTTCATCTTCTGCCACCTCATAGTGTCAAACGTAGGAATAATTTGATATACTTCCTTACAATGTCGCTTGCTGTACATTCACTCACAGCCTTGCGTTACCAAGCTTTATAAGGGTAATTTGTGTATGTAAGGCACCATCTCCAAGTGGGGCCAAAAGTTCTACTCGCTGTTGGTGAATTGGAGGAGATAGAATGGGGATCAAAGGCCTATTTAGATCCCTGTCCTCTGTATAACCACACTAGATCAGAGCAAAGTCTGGATACATTATCTTGTCTCAAAAATAAAGAGATTCACCTACTCTTTCAATTGAAAGCACAATGTGGACTTTAATCAAGGAACTTATATAATTTATCAAAGGAACTGAATGACAGTCAATGTCATCCATGTTATTGCGATTAATATCTGTGGTATCTGTACCACAACAACAGATGCAAGAAACATCCAATGGGTTGGTATCTCTTGATGTAATTGAGTTGACACATTATATTGGGGAAATTCATATATGAAATATGTCTCAGTAAATCCAGAGAATTAAATTCCTAAAAAGAGTTGTATATGATTTCTTATATTAAATAATTTACCTGGAGGCATATAGCAATAGCTACCCAACTCAGAAGCTACCGATGACCTGTATGAGATCTCCCCGATTATACGATCAAGGCCAAAGTCAGTTATCTTTGGCTCAAAACCATCACCAATAAGGATATTATTAGATTTCATGTTCCGGTGAAGTATCTGTGAGACATAATCTTTGTGAAGGTACAGTAAGCCATGTGCGGATCCAATAGCCAGTTTGAGGCGAAAACTCCACTCTAGCGAAAAGCCTGGTTTATGAAGGGCATCTCCTAAGCTACCCTTTTTCAGGTACTCAAAAATAAGAAGAATTGTGCCTTTGGAGTAACAAAAGCCCAACAACTTGGCGACATTCCTGTGCCTGGCCTTGGCCATTGTCTTGATCTCAGCCTTCACTATTCTGAAAGACAAGTTACTGGAGTTTAGTAGCCTCTTAACGGCAACAAATTCTCCCCCAGGTAGCTGAAGGATGTGAACTTTGCCAAAAGCACCTTCACCGATCACATTTTTCTCAACTAAAGCCATAAGCAGCTCCTCTTCTGTAATCCCGAGAGGGTAAAAGAATACCGATTTCCATGTTCCAGATCTGGGCTTGCCTCGTAATATCCTACACACCACATAAAGCCCCACAATTAAGACTGTGAAACCAACAGCAATGGATACCACAATTGCCGCCCAGAACAATCCAATGGTCTTAGAGTTTCGTCTTTTTAGTGGCCCATTGCATGGGTTTGGCAACCCAGGGCCACACAAATCGGGATTTCCCTGTAAGAATGAAGCTGGAAGATCAGAAACCAGAGAAGTTGGAACACCTCCTGATAGCTGGTTGAAGGAAACATTGAACAGTGCAAGTTTCAGGTTTTGGAGCTCTGGTGGGATCTCACCGCTGAGTCTATTGCTGGAAATGTCAATGTATGTCAACACTGGTAGGTGTCCAAGAGAAGGTGGGATGTTTCCGGTCAAACTATTGTCTGCTAAGGATAACGAGACCAACTTTCTGCAGCTCCTGAGCTCTGGAATTGACCCTGTGAGCGAGTTGTGGGACAAATTTATGATACTCAAGACCGGTGAATCAAAAATATCAGCAGGGAGATCACCGGAGAAACCATTAAGCGAAGCTGAAAACCTGTACATGGTGCGAATCATTCCAAGACCTCCAGGAATTCTCCCCGTGAAGCTATTGTTATCAATCTGAACTTGCTCCAGATGAGAAAGAACTCCAGCCAAATCGGGCATCTCACCTGAGAACTGGTTGTTTTCAGCTCGGACAAGCTTCAACTCTGGCAGTGACCACAAACCAGATGGAAGTTCTCCAGAAAAGCCATTGTCCTGCACTTGAAACCTCTCGAGGCTCAGGCATTTCTCAATGCTGTAAGGTATTGGACCAGTGAAGGAGTTCTCAAGAAGACTGAGTTGTTTGAGAGATTTCCCGTAGCAAACATCAGCTGGAAATGATCCAGAAAGCATATTCTGTGAGAAATCCAGAGCAGTCAGATTCAGAAAACCCAACCCGAACCCCAAAGGGATTTTTCCTGTCAAATTATTCTGGGAAAGGTCTAAAACCTCCAGCTCATGCAAACCAATGAAGGATTCAGGAATCGCACCATAAAGACCAGATCTTTGCATCTTAAGCCATCTCAATTTAGCCAGCCCCCCAATTTCTCGAGGCAGTTCAGATGCCAAAGATGGATTCTGCGACAAGTCAAGAAGGACTAGCTCGCTCAAGTTTCTGAAAACAGGGGGACGGATGATACCTGAGAACAAGTTACTTCCCAAGTTGAGAACTTGGAGCCGCTCCAAGGAACCCAAGCGGACGGGTATTTGGCCTTCAATGCGGTTCCTACTGAGATCGAGCGTAGATAGACTGGAGAGCAGAACTATTTGGTCAGGAAATGTTCCCCAAAGCAGATTGTTGCTGAGATTGAGAGTGACCAGTCTGGTGCACTCGGAGAGCCGGAGAGAGATGGCCTCGTTGAAGAAGTTGTTGGCAAGGTTGAGGTCGGAGAGCTGACGGAGTTGGCAGATGGAAGGAGAGATGTCACCGGTGAGGTTGAGGCCGTGAAGATCCACAGAGGTGACCAGAGAAGTGGTCTTGGAGCAAGTGATGCCAGTCCAGTTGCAGTGGTTCGTGGAGTTCGGGGACCAGTCGGATAGAGCCAAGGTAGGGTCCTCCATGGAGGACTTGAAGGTGAGGAGGAGGTCTGTTTCAGAGGAAGAGCTGAGGGCACTGACAAAGGAGAGAAAGAGAGTCAGGAGGAGAGTTTGGTGAGCTGCGGAGGAGGAAGCCATGGTTTCTTCTTCCCACTCTTTGGGTCTGAGACAGAGTTGTCTTCTGCTGCCAAGGCTTGTAGTGGAGTGGGGACTTGGAGTCATTCTTTGAGCTGGAGATGAGATCAACTCCCTTTTGTAGTTGTCGTTGCAGCGAGGCTGATGATGCAGTGATGCTGCCTCTGCACTGCAACAGCACTGCATGCTCTGTTAGATTTAGTCCTTGGCATTGAAGAGACACCCAGATGCACAGAGTCCTCCATGACCGGTGGACTCCACTACCTGACGCTGGCTTCATCTACCTCATGACCTACCATTAATCTTGTGTTGATGATGCAGTACAAATAACAGGCTTAAAATAATAAACGAAGAAGAATACCGACACAGAATGCAGAACCCAAAGCAGGGATGGATTAAAAGCACTTGAAAGACTGACCCGTGAGTCGGAGATGATATGTCAGAGGTCACTGCGAAGCGACGACCCGAGTTCACTCCAGCGTTGCCTCCCGGTCGTCCTCCTCCGATCACACGGCTGTGACGAAGGTTACGATTCCCATGCAAGAGGTAGCGGTCGACGGTGGACGCACACCCATACTTTTATTCAGCTACGTCCAAAAAGGCGCACTGAGATGCTCCGTCGATTGTTGCACTGTCATCCTCCGCTGTACATTGATTAGCATGTAAACCAAAGGGAAAAGAAAAGTCAATGCTTTGTAAGTGAGACAGTACTCGATGGACATAATTACCATGCTTTAGTCTGCAATGTATGCTGTTCTCCGATCACCAAATCTTGCCATGCCCGGCTGCGGGATTATATATGGCAAGGAATCTCCAAGTTCTTCACCATGAAATCCAGGTGTGTGAATAATGATCACATACAGAAAGGTGTCTGCTTCTGGTGGGGTTTCAGGTAAGACAACAATGGTACAGTGAAATTTGGTAGAGAACGTGACATTGTCTTTTGCATTCCACCACAAACCCTCCACTAGCAAGTTGTTGACCTTTAACCAAAGAGAGTCAACCCCAAGCAGGAAAAGAACATTACCCACCCAAGAGAAAGATTGCACACATCAACTTATTACTTTCAGAATCAGAATCCATGATGAAGATGGAACCGCGAGATCCGTCTCACCCCATCCCACGGGACTCCTTTCAAGATCTACCTTTTTTCCTTCTTCCCATGAGTTAATGGTATCGGATATGGATAGAGAAGGTCTGAAGTGGCACCAACTTGAGCACCGAATGAAATGAATTCTTGAGCACGAAGACTGCACCACCACCATGATTGCTCTTGTCCTGCACTTGGGGCTTTGTTCCAAGTGTAACATCCACCGAGCTGACAGCATCTTAGTAAGGCTGATGAAACTGCACATATGATCTAAGTTGTTCTTTTCTTCTTCTTCAAGAGTTCATTGGAGTGGGCCAACAATCTCGTCACTGGATTCTTCGAGAAATTGTAGGATTAGCATTGTCATTAGGTGGGAGTGATATTGTTGCCTGTTAAGAAAAGATAAGGGTTAGTAGGATTAACAATTAAACATTTATGCATAGGCACACATGATAATACATGTAACCAATACAGAAAAGGAAATTGCTATCACATAATCACCTGATACAAATTGCTGTACGCAACCATAAATTTCAGGAGCATTCTTTGTTAAGACAAACCAATCGCCTAATTCTGGAGCATTGTTCCCTGCAAATTGTCTATGATCCACATTGAACAAAATAGATTTCGGTACAAGAATGTTTCCATATTGCAGGCTTCATATTACCTCTTAGAAGAAAAGGACAATCAACTTTAACCAAAAATCTGAATTTGAACTATTGCGATTCCTCAGGTGATTCCCATTTCGTATACAAATCATCAACAATGTTGTTGTACAAGGAATACAGTGTAATCTAACAATAGATTGAAATAAGCACTTCTGTAATAAAGAGTATCCAAGCAACAAGTGAAAGCTCAGACATGCCAAAGGAATTTGAAGAATTGAGAACCAATAGTAAGAACAAACTCAGACCAATCCTTCAGCAATCACTGTTTTCTTAATTCTTTAGAAGATTCAAGATATAGCAATAGAATGCATCATAGAAAGACAAAATTATCTTTATGACATCAACTACATCTAACATTGATAACTATAACAGAAAAGACTTCAAAACACATAATGTTGATAGTTTCACATATTCTTCTTATCATAGTCTTTGAAACCTAGGGAATAAGAACTCTCCCCCTCGACGGTATAAATAAACTGCAAAACACATCTGGAGCAGACTGCCAAAAAACACTCAAAGCCAAATGTTACATGTGAATCTTCAAGCTAAACAATGAGTTGATCTTACTGGGCTCAGTCCATGAAGGAACAGAAAGGCAATGGTCTACTTTGAGTAACTTGGACCATCCCAGTTCATTCTTTCAGCTTAGAGTATCGATTCCAACATTAAAGAGTGCTGCACAAAGGTTGATAACCTGTTGATAGTTTCTTTCAAAAGAAACAAATATTTATCCATGCTAAAAAGTGGCCCTAATAATCATTATCATAGCTTCCATAAACATTAACGATTATTAAACTCGACCTATGAAAAGGAACAGATGCAAGTCAGTTTAAAAGCCATTTCTTATCCTAATGAAATTCATCAACAAATGCAAGTTTCTGGCTTGGAACAAAGCGTTACTCTAGGCTTGTAAGATTTGAGTTCTTGAGTCAATAGATCTATTAGGTTGGGTTGTAATAATTGGTATCAAAGCAAACCTGACACTATCTATGTGATATGAGCGATCTGGAGTTGGGAATATGGACTCATGGATGGTGCAAGAGACACTTCAAGATGTGAAGCCACCATTAGACCATGAATTGTACATGATGCCTACTAGAGAATGGTTCAAGATTATGTTTCAGGTCCTGATGTCAGCACATAAGGTTAAGCTTGCAAATCCAAGTTACTGGAACAATGGTTTTATCAGGTTAAATCATGGCAATTTTCATATTTATTTTATATAAAAAATAAAATTAGCAAAAGTAGAAAGCAGAGTTGCTAAAAACAGACCACATTAACAAACTTGCTAAAGCTACACAATTTAAAAATGTTTAGTAGATGGATTTGGTACAACAATTATCAATTTGAAGGAAGCTCACGCTTCTAGACATGAAAATGTTTACACCGATAACAGAGAGAAAACCATTACCCACAAAATCTCCTGAAAGAAAAACTTTGGAAAAGAAGAAATTTACAAAGACCTAAAATGGCAGTCGGAAAGATGAATGATTAGACGATAGCACAGGATATGAGAATCATGCAGGAGAATAATTAACTTTGACCACGACAGAATTGAAGATTTCCAATCTCATTATAAGGTTCTTTTAGAAGAACATGAACAGATACCTTAGACTGTGTAGCAAAAGAAATTGAATGGGAAGACATAAAGGGTCATGTAAAGAAAGTTGCATATGGGAAGCAAAATTAAGAGCCATAAATATGAGGAAAAAAAAGACAAATGGGAAGTATGTCACTGCAATTTTCTGTTTTATGATCTTATTATACATCACTTGGAGAAAGCAATTTTTGTTCAATTATCACTGTAAAAACAGATCAATTATAAAACAAACTCTAGGGCTTAAAAATAAGTGATAAAAAAGTGACATTAGTAGGAACAGTATAATACAATGTGAAATATATTATAGATGGCTCACCGTATAGTTCATATCAAATGGCTGGAGAATGACATGCAAACTTGCTAAGTTAAGGAAATGACGTATTAATAAAGGTGATGTTAATTGCATAGAGGTACATAAGAAAAAAGATACTGAGCACAGGGCACCACAACTCTCCTCCACATGAAGGTCATTTAAACTGCAATTCTAAGTGCTAAAGTTCAGTAAAAACTGAAATTTCCAAAATCAAGTGAAACAATGTGGCACCATAGCTAAGCAGATCAACAAAATATTTTCTTTGAATTAATATCAATCTCAAGAAAAATTACATGTTGTGATGGTTTATAAGAAGGTCACTTGTATTCAGTAGCCAAAATTTCGGAGTCCTTATTCAACTCTTGTATAGAAAACTTAGGCTCATAGATTTGTTCCAGAGTAAAGACTATAAATGTGTTTTTGACAACATTCCCTTCGACCTCATTATATGTAACTAAATGTACAATTAATTGTCTCCTCTTATCAACAAGAGAGGAAGCCCTACAATAACATGTAACTGTGGGTATAAACTATGAATTATCCAAATATAGCCAATGAAAACAAAATGACGTATCTTAGAGATCAGAGGCAAAATCTAACAATTTCAATGCATTTAGTTCTCAGAATCATACAAAT